GGAAAGAAAGAAGCCACCACTTCCTGGTTCACTTTTAACACTCAGCTCTCCTTATTTTATTTGTTCATTCTTATTACTTCCTCTCCCTTAACCCCCACCACATCCAATCTATCACATGTCAGGTCAAATCAACCTCCAAAATATTTCTGAAATCCACCCACCTCCATAGCCATCAAGCCATGTTCAAGCCACTACCATACATTGCCTAGATTACTGCAATAGCCATTGCTCTGTCTTATTCCATGCTAGGCCAGCTTCAAATCAATTCTTCACCCAACAGCCACAGTGATCTTTGACAAATAAATTGGGTCACACCAACTTTCTGCTTCTGCCACTCAGTGGCTTCCCATTCCTCTTAAGTAAAGCCCTGCCTTCCTCTTCAGTCTTGTACAATCCTCCAGCTTCCCAGGTATTCCTGCCTCAGGGCCTTTACACAGGCTGTTCCTCCTCTATCAGGCCCCCTTCTCCACTCTTCACTAGAAAAATTTCTTCTTATTCTTCAGCTCCCTGCTTTAGTGAGGCTACCTATAGCTTCCTTCTTTAAATCATGTCCTTCCTGCTCTTTTCTTTTATGATGCTTTGTTTTCTTCCTCCATAGTATGTACCACAATACATGATTATTTATTTATGTGTTCATTTGTTTCATGTCTACTCCCCCACAAGGCTGAGCTTCCTGAAAGCAGAGATCCTGCTGCTTTGTTTACCCTTGTTTATACCATATACCTAACTCCTGGCACACAGTAGGTATCAAAAATATTTCACAAAAGAATGGAGGAACTTTATAAACAAGAAAGAAAAAAGTAGGTAGAACATTTCCATGCTAACTGAATGTTTTACACGTGAAATTGTAAATAATACCATCAAAAAACATGAGGAAACATCTTTTACATCACCAGCATGGCTCCAAAGTACTCTTCCCTGCCCCCCACCCTTTTAGTCATTTCATTCCTTTGCTATAAGCAGGTTAGGGCTGTTGATCCCAGAACCTACAGAGAAGTTAGTCTTAAGCAATGAGCTATCGGTTTCTTATGCTGAAGTGGGAGGGGTCTATGGCTGCGTGTGACACACGGAGGTTTCCAGTAAGGCCCAATATCATCTTTAAGGGAAATTTCAAGAAAGGAAAAATTTAACCAGTAACACCATTGCTCAAAATTTCCAACCTATTACAAAAAACCTAAATGTGCTTAAGAGGCATAAAAGAATAAAAACAAACAATAACTGCTTATAATTTGTGAAGTATAGATCTCTACAGTCATCTAAATAATTTCTTTGCATCCAACTCTCCCAGAAAAACAACTATCTAGCCCTTATTTCTTTTGAATTACCCAAATTTCTGTTGGCAACTTATTTCAGCATCTTACTATGCTTTACAGTTCTTCAAAATATCTAGAGCTTTCTAATACCCAAATCCTCTCCAAGGTAACCAGGTTTCCTCTTGAGTCGTTAACACATATAAGAAAATGACCCTCCACCATTCACATTCTCTCTTCATCCCTGGAAGCCTATTACAATATTAAGTTTCAGGTATTTAGTTACACAATGACTGTCCAGTCACCAGGATGCATAAAGATTTGTTTTAATCTGTACTTTGGAGATTATTTCCCCAAATTGTGTTGCTCTTGTGTCCTAAAAAGGTTCTTATCAATCTAGGATCCCAAACTACAAAAGAGTGGAGAGCTGAGCAGAGAATCCTATATGTTGGGCACCTGATTCCACCTCTCGGATCCACGTTTTGTGGTCATGGTACTCAACTGATTCTCATTTAACCAAGACCCACTGAAACCCCAGGTCCTTAACAGATGTGAATGTGCAAAATCAATTCATTTCCATTTTCCTAACAAAAGGCCACATATTCCGCTCTATTAAGTGCATCCTATCTCTTTGTCAGCCTCTGTATGGTGTTTTAAAAGTATGTGCTATCACAGTGAATTTGAGGTCAGCAAATTCTAAGTCACGATAAAAAGCACATCTTCTTGATTCTTAATAAATATGACAGTGCAGCTTTATCAAGAATATAGAAATATTAACACAGTTAGTTCTTAATGCCTTGAGTTTCAGCTTCTGGACTCATGATAAAGTCACACTCTGTTGCAGCAACTCTTTGCTAGAGACTAAGACATACACAGACACAGTATCTACAGATCAAGATTTTAGCTTTGTTTCTGGTTTTTTTGGATTTTTGTTTTTTCCCCAAGTTGGAGTCTCACTCTGTCGCCCAGACTGGAGTGCAGTGGCACACTCCTGGCCACCACAGCCTCGACCTGCTGGGCTCCGGTGATCCTTCCGCCTCAGCCTTCCAAGTAGCTGGAACTACAGGCATGCGCTACCATGCCCAGCTAATTTTTAAATTTATTGTAGAGATGAGGTCTCACCAAGTTGCCCAGGCGGGTCTCAAACCCGCGGGCTCACAGGCAATTCACTCACCTTGGCCTCCCAAAGCGTGGGATTACAGGCTGACCCACTGAGCCCGGCCTGTTTCTGGTTTTTAATGTCTACAGTAAACTCAAACCATTAATAAGTTCAAATGACTTTCCAGTTTCTTTTCGTTAAACTAGTTTCTTTCTGTTAACTTCTGCCTCTCAATGCTTATCTTATTCTCCAAATCTCAGCTATCTTGGGTACCCAGGCATCAGACAACACCCCCAGAGCCTTGGAAAGTCCCAAAAAGTGATAGATGAAAAGCCTGTAATTTCACCTACCCATAGAGGAGCAAAGAAGTCTTCGTTTGCAGTTATAAAAAACACCAACTAAGCACCATTTCCCTGCAAGTTGATAGCATGACTAAGTGGTAATCAGCTCATATACTGGAGACGGGAGTATCATTTAGGTTTAGGATTACACTAGAGAAGATGAGAAAAATGAAGATGCAGAGACCGAACCCTTCCTAAAAAAGAGAGCTTAAGGAGGTATTCAACTCTCACCAAGCAGTTACAGAACCACAGAACCTTTTGAATTGATACACCGGTCCCATGAATCCAGGAACCCAGAAATGTCTTACAAGCATCAATTAATTCTGGCAACATGCTCCATTTACAAGTAGAGAAACTTGGATGTTTAGGGACAGAGCATCTCAAAGATGAGTCAGGACCAGAGAGGGCACCAGACCTAGGGCTCCAGAATCTCTAACTCTGGCAGGAGATGTGCTCCACTTTCAAGGGCATAAAACATCCACATAAGAAACAGATGGCAGAGATAGAAGTGAATGTACACACACCCTGGGCTGGGGCAAGACAAAGGACAGTCAACAGAGCCCCTTTGAAACTGGAAGGGGCAAGGACTCAGTGGCTCAGCCTGTAATCCAGCGCCTTTGGGAGGCTGAGGTGAGTGGATTGCCTGAGCCCATGGGTTCGAGACCCGCCTGGGCAACTTGGCGAGACCTCATCTCTACAATAAAATCAAAAATGAGCCGGGTGTGGTAGTGCACGCCTGTAGTTCCAGCTACTTGGAAGGTTGAGGCGGAAGGATCGCCGGAGCCCAGCAGGTTGAGGCTGTGGTGGCCGGGAGTGGCCACTGCACTCTAGTCTGGACGACAGAGTGAGACTCCAACTCAAAAAATAAGAAACTGGAAAGGAAGCCAACTCAAGGCCCCAAATGTCATTTAATCAGATGGAAAACTATCATTGCTTCAGCCTTTCCTCAGCAAAGACACTGCTCGCCTTATGGCTTGTAAGTTGATGCCAGGAGACACCCCATCCATCCTCACATCAAGGCTCTCTAATCTGATTTGAGTTCAGAAATGCCTATTCATCTTTGGCCAGATAAATGAACCAGATATTCCATTTGCAAGCATGCATGCTGAAAGGGAACCCACCCCATGGTAAAGGGAGGCTAATAACCAACGACAGACCCCCTGGCTTTTTCTGTCTTCCTCACAAGGGAAAGTTAACATGCTGTGTATATTTAAAAAACACAAAGTGAATCAAGCCCTTCTTAACCATAGGGCTTGGGTAGTAATGTGACTGGCCTGCATATTTAAGATCTAGCAAAGTAACCAATTAAGCTGAGACTAGCTTTGGTAAACCAGATGGACATAATCAAACGTGTGCTTGGGTCAAGCATTGTCTTATCCGAACACCTGCGAAAGAGAACCAATAAATCGGTAACACCTTGGAGTGAACTGATTTTGCCCAACTTTTTCTGAAATGAGATACCCTGACAGAACCCTCTACTGGGGAGCTACAGGTGAGCAGCCGTCCACCAGGATTAAGACCAGAGAAAAGAGCTTGGAAACTCTAAAGATAAACAGGGCCCAGATCTGCTCCGCCAGGGCAAACTGCGGTTCCCTCGATCACTGAGAAATCCTTACTAAAGTGGCAGCCAGAGTAGACGCCAAACTGTCTAGTATTCTTTCTGAAGGTTCTCTTCACCAACAGCCTAAGTTGGTTCGAAGTGGGAGTGGGGGTAGGGGTGGAGGTTAGCAATCGCGGCAACTGCCATTCCCCATTCCCTAGCCCCATTCTCCTCCGGCTCCACTGTAATGGTCCTGAGCCCCAGGTTAGCCTTTCCAGCTAGGCAGCGTCAGTGGGTTTCATGCCCCCGGTTAATCTTCCCTGCGCCCTGGCTCAGTCATTCTTAGCTCAAAGTGTCCTGTTCAGTGAAATATCCAGGAGGCCGTACACATAAATTAAGGCGCGTGTCAGACACACACTACCCACCCTAATAAGAGGAATCCGCCTGCCCACACAGAGTTTCAATTCATCAAAAATTCATTTAGTGCTTACTGTGTGTCAGGCGCTGAGACGCGTCCTGCAGGTTCAAAGGCGCCCCAGATGCCACCCTTGCTCCCCAAGAGTCCCAAGTTCTGGGTGAGCCGGGGCAGCCGAATGAGAAGCTGAAGCAGAGTGAGAATACTATCACTGGCGAGGGGCTCCCTCCCCAAAGTCCTCTCCTACTCGGAGAGGGTCCCAGCGAGAAGCCACCCCGCCCGCGGGGTTCGCACCTCTCTGTCGCCACCCACCCACCACACCCGCCGTCCGGCCCGCACCCACACTCGCACTCACTGCGTCTTTCTGCGGCCCTGGTCGCGGTGCAGCTCCCGCAGGTCCACCTCAGCGCGGCCCAGGAACTTGTCGAGGCCGAGCAGCGCGCGGTGCAGCACGGTGAGCTGCAGGGTGGCGGCGGCCGCGGGCCCGGGGGACAGCAGCGAAGGCAGCTCGAAGGTGGCCTCCTCCCACCATACCGCCGCGCCCAGGCTGCGCTCCGACACCGACGTGGCGTACTTCTCCTTGCCCACCTGGATCACCGCATACGCGTCGTTCGCGCCCCCGGGGCCCTTGCCCCGTAGGCCCCGCGCCTGCAGCACCGTCACCTTCACGTGGGTTGGGGACCATAGGGCCCCCAGGCCCCGGTCAGCCGAGGCCGTTAGGGACATGGTGACGATGCCTCGGCCGACTGGAACGCGAGCAGAAGATCGCCGCGATCCGCGGTCTCTACCGCCCGCCCCGCCGCCTCGGCCGCTTTAAGGCTTCCGGCCACGCCCCCTAGTGGGCCCGCCCCTCCGTGCCCCCGCCACGCCCCCGCAGGCTTCCGCCAGGCCCCGCCCCTCCAGCCGCGGAGCCCAGCGGGCCTTCCCAGGCACTGGCGGGTGGGGGCGGGCGCGGGAGTCACGTGGGCGGGCGGGGGTGAGTGTGGAATTCTGATCCGAGCTGTGGTAGGTGAGCGATGGGGTCACCGGTTGCCGAAAGTCGCCCAGGCGCTGGCTTGAGGGGCAGACCTCATTTCCAATTATCAGGTGCGTGGCCTCGCGCAAGTTGCTTAACGTCAAGACTCAATTTCTTCATCTGTAAAATGAGATCACAACTACCTCATAGAATTGCTGTAAAAAAATTTAATGCATTACGGTTCTCAGCCAAGTGCACGCGATGAGTTCTTAGTAAACGGTACCGGAGAGGGTAGTCATGAAGATGTTCCCCCAATTCGCTGCTCTTTCTATTCGGCCCACTAGGGAGCGCTGCTATGGGGTGGGGAGAGAAAGAAAAGGATCCTGTGAGGGCCTAAAAAGGGGAAGGTAACATGGGGAGTGGGGCGTGAGGTCGGTGTGGGAGTGCCCTGTTTTGTCCTGCCCTCACCAAATAAGGTGAGGTTACGATAGGAAAAGGGCAGAAAGGAGGAACTGCAAACAAAATTGCCAAACCAAACATCGGGACCAGTGGCAGTCCCCACCCCCTCAGTTCCCCTTTTCTTCCTAGCTAGTCTCCTCGTTCTCCCTGGGCTCACACTCAATTTTCCTTGTTCCAAATGTTTATTAGATTGGCTGCGTCTCTTCGTTTCTCAGGTCCTAGTTCAAAGACTCAGCTCTTAAACTGATCATCAGATTGGAAGGGTCACTTTGAAGGTTTTAAAGCTTTACAGTTAAGGAACACCCAGCGCAGAGAAGTGACATATTCAAGGTCCCACAGAGGAGCTGGGACTAGGATCCCGGTGTCTTGACTCCCAATCTGGTGTTTGCTGCTTCTCTTGCTTCTTCCAGATCCCCAGAACCCCAGCCTTGGAATGCTACTAGCTTCCCACCTGATCTCTAAGCTTTTCTGCCTCCAGTCCACCATGCATGCTGCTTCACTGACCTGCTGGAAACCCTGTAATGCAGCCTCATCATAACTGCATTACCTTCAGACTAAACAGAGATTTCGAGGCATTCCATGTTGCCCCACCCTCACTCATTCTTCTCTAGCTGCCTAACAAACAACCCTGTAGCCCAGAGACTCCCCTTACCTCCAAGCTCCCTATTCACTTTGTTGTTCCCTTAACTGTCTTTGCCACCCTCCCACTGCAAAGCTTCACTCAGATTCCTCCAAGATTTGACTTCCTGTGGCCCTCTGAAGGGCAGGGGCCAGGTAGCGACCTATTCAATATGTCTCCTTCACAGTATCTAGCACAAACCTGGGTATACAGTAGGTATTCAGGAAGTGCTGTTGAATTGAAGAGTTTACAGGTTATTCCAGCCAACCATGAGTACAAAGTGTTTCCTTTTACCGTGTAGGAAATTTGAATACAGACCTATGCCTCAGGTTTACAACTGAAGGTGGCTACAGTGTGGGACAGGACTATTTAGTATGTTGTAAATATTTAAGGATGATAAGGAGGAAAGAAGAAAGGAGCCACTGGGCACACAAGGGGCAGGAATGCTTAGCAGAACTGTTATTTTGGTGCTAATTCCCCTACTGGTTGATCCCTTAACCTCATTCAACCGCAAGGTTCAGTTCATTTCCATAGTTATTTAGGCAGGGCACGTGGCTCACACCTGTAATGCCGACACTTTAGGATGTCAAGGTGGGAGGATTGCTTGAGGCCAGGAGTTTGGGGACAGCCTGGGCAACATATCAAGACTCCATCTCTACAAAAACAAAATAAAATAAAAAATAGCCAGGTGTGATGGTGCATATCTATCATGCCGGCTAATTGGGAGGCTGACAGGAGGATCACTTAAGCCCAGGAGTTTTAGGTTAGTTACACCACTGCATTCCAGTCTGGATGATAAAGCATGATAGAGCAAGACCCTGCTAAGATTTATTGAGAACTTACTTTGTACCGGGGATGTGTCAGGTGCTACCAAGGGCACAGAGCTGAATGGGAATCTACTCCAAGACACACTATGACAATCTAAAGGAAGTCCTGATAAGAAAAATGCTTGGGAGGGGGGACGGGATTGGCAGTAGTGAGAATCTACCAGGGAAGGGGGGAGCACACTTCATCAACAAGGGTACCTGCATAATGAACATTTGTATACCTAACCCTAAATTGTTCCCCACATCTTTAAAATAACGAAAAAAAGAAAATGTTTGGGTGTTTTGAGGAGAGAGTGATTTCTCTAAGTAGGTGGATTTTTTTCCAGGTGGTCCCTGAAGGTTGTATCAGATTTCACAGGCAAAAGAGGAGACATAAGGAAAAAGCATTTCAGATGGAGAGAACAGAAAAATAGCCTAAGCAAAGGTATGGGGGCAGAGAGTCATAAATATTTAAGGTTTCTTTTCAGGTAGGAGTCTTACTCCATCATCCAGTCTGGAGTGCAGTGGCACGCTCACAGCCACCACAGCCTCGACCTGCTAGGCTCAGGTGATCCTTCCACCTCAGTCTCCCAAGTAGCTGGAACCATAGGTGCGTGCCACCATGCCCAGCTAATTTTTTATTTACTTTAGAGACGAAGTCTCACCAAGTTGCCCAGGCTGGTCTCAAAAACCTGAACTTAGGAAGTCCTCTCACCTCCGCCTACCAAAGTGCTGGGATTACAGGCGTGAGCCAATTGCATATTTAAGGGTTTCAAATACTCCATTGGGCCTGAAGTGTAGAATATTTTAGGAAGGCACTGGATATGCGTGGTGGAAATGACAACCACTCTGGGCTCAGAGCGGGCGGATCAGGAACACCAGGCTAAGTAGTTTATGCCCGGGTTAGCCCAGGGTGAGCCAGCCTTCAGAGGATTTTGAACAGCAACAGGATTAGGCTGTCCTTGGCTTGCAGGGCAGGTATGCACAGAAGGAGGCCAGCAGCCAATAGTGTGGTAGGTCCCAGCAAGATGCCTTCATTCCACCTAAGGACTGTCTGCCTCCCTCCCCAATCTGTGCACCCCTCCCCCATCCTGGTGTCCAGCTAAGTCGGTACCAAATTAAATGAGGCATGCATGCACTTTCCTCTTGGCTGTCCTACCTGTCCAATGTTCCACTGCATCCCAGCTGGACAAGGCATAGATCTGGGGTCAAAAGTGACCCTGAGAATAAGTTTTTTAGCTCCTGGTCTCTCTTCCTCCTCCCACTCACATTTTGAGTGCTATATTCCACCATAAAGAGAGTAGGGAGTGAAACCTAGCTGGACAGCCTCCCAGGCTGAGTATGAAACAAAGCATCTCTTCCCCTCATGGAAAGGATTAGAGGACGAAGAGGGAGAGGGAGGACCTGTGACCTCATGTGTTTGAGTTTCTGGCAGACACAGATAGACTCTGGTAAAGGCAGAAGTGGCAGGTTAGGGGGGGGCAAGGCTGCCTTACTACCCAGGAGAAACCCAGGTCCCTCTTATCTGACATTGGCCACTGGTAGGGGCTAACTTAGGAATAGGGTTCACTCAAGGTAGGAATTGGAAATTTGTCAGAGAAAGGGGCAGCCAGAAGCTCCAGTGCAGGGTGTGTGGCAGAGCAGTTTTGCTGCTCTCCAGATGCCTTGGAGGAGGCTTTCTCCCCTCCACCAGGCCAGAGCACAGTGTCCTCAAAACTCACCAACTCACCAGCCAGGAGTAACATCTGTCTTCTTCCAATGTTATAGACCCACACTCCAGACTGGGGGATGCACAGGTGTAACCACAAGGATAATGACAATGACAAGGCAGGTACCCTGCGGTCCCCTGACTCCCCACATGACTTGAGGGGACCCCCACTTGGGCCACCCCTCCAACCCCTCCCAAAGGCCAGGCCATCCTGTGCGACTGACCCCTCTCTGGTTCACCGAGTTTGTAACTACCTCCCACAACTAGGGTGCGGTGCTCTTCCTCCCACCCTGCCCCGCCTCTGGCTCGGACTGAAAGAGGAAAAGAGTTTCAGTTGGCCCTGAGCACGTGGACAGGGTGCCTGGCAGGTTAGACTGGACAAGTGAGACCTGTCCTCTTTCAAAAACAGCAGAGCAGAGAATGCAGGGACTTCAGCCACCCAGGTGGTTGTGCAGTTAGGTCAGATGAGTCGTGTTTAGTTGTGGAGGGGGGAGGAACGTTCCCTCAATAAGACAGTCTGTGGGGTCATGCTGGGGAGGGGGAAAGGAGATTCAAGGAGAAGACTTCCACTGCCCTGCTGCTTGCCCATAACTCCCCAACAGCTATTCCCTCACCTGCCAGCAGGTGTCCCTCACCTGCCAGCAGGGACATTAACTCAGAAATCATCCCTGGGACTCCAGGTGGGCTCACGTGCCTTCCCAAGAGAGAAGCAGAAAGAGGAATGGTAATGGTGGCTTGTCCTTCTCCTTTGCCTCAGACTCTAGGGTGTGGTGACAGACATCCACACACAGTGATTCATTCACACAACTTTTGGTAAACACCTGTCCGGCTTCTCCACGTCCAGCTCCCTCAGCCTCCTGCCAGCTTGGTCAGCTGTGGCTGCCTCCCAGGTGCAGGTTTGAAGAGCAAGTGCCTCCTGCCCTGTGGGGCCAGTGAAGGCAGGGAGGACCAGGTCCCTGACATCAAGCTCTCTTTTCCTTACCCCAATGGCTGTGGCAGTGTGGAGGTTGAAACCGTGGCCCAACTGGGCGGAGGGTGATCTTAGCAGGCTACCATTTCCCCTACAGCCCTGGTGAGAGAGTGGCTCTGTTTAACAGGGCTTGTGTCAAAGGTGTTATCTTTCCAATCTGTCTCTCCTCAAAGAAGCCCCTGGATCTCACGACTAGAAAAACGTGTCCCCCTGCCCTTCCCACTTCCTGCACAAAGCCTTCCCTCAGGCCTCTCCCATTCTGATTA